GGGCAAGTGGCTCTAGGTAGCCCTGCTTGAGCAGGGATATTGGGCAAATTGACCTCTAGCAGTCCTTTCTAACCTAACCACTCTGTGATTCTGTGATTTTTTCTTCTTCTTAGTATTACAAAATTTACACTTAAAAATTGATATCTGTAAATTCAATTTTATGATTAAGAAAAACATTATCTCTAAAATAGATGAAAGCTGCTTATCATTATCCAATTCCTGATTTAAATCCTTGTGTTTTCTACCTACTGTTTGAAGAGTCTCTTTAGTTAAAATTTGTTCATTCAGTCTGAAAATATGTGGCATATGACTAACCTCTAGTTTATCAACAATTGTGGTTTCTAGTGCCTTAATAATCTGCAAATATTATTAAGAGATACTTTTTGTAATCATATGTATTGCAATGGCTCCTGAGCTGAATGTTCTAGGGGAAGATCAGGCCTAAGGGCTAGCAGAGCCAAGTGCATCTCTGTTACATGCATCTTGAGCATCAGGAGCAGGTCTCAGACACATATTCAGATGTGGTCAGGTATACACATGCCTTTAACTACATCAACAGTAGCAAATAAAACAGGTTAGGGACTCTTCTTTGGCCTTATGGACAACCAGCATGGCTAAAGTGTCTGCCCCGCAGAAGGGTGGTCTCATCCTGACTGACAATAGACTCTTGAGCTTACTGTTTCTGCAAACTGTACCTGGTCTTTTTCAGAGAGTGGACTAAACCAGTAGAGATGAACATATATTGGTGCTTACATTCTCCAGTCCTAGTCTACCCACATAGGCAAAACCTTTTTTTTTTTTTTTTTTATGTGCTTTTTCTGATGTTTCCTGCTAATATGAATAAATATAATTAGAAAATCTACTACATCAGAAACAATTGCTTCAAAATGGCCAAGTAAGATCTTCTAAAGTTCTTGAAAATGATTAGATTTGTTCCATGAACCACTGAAGACCACCACACAACTCAGCATTGTCTGGCCAGTGAAGGCTGCATAAGAACCAGTGCAAATGGTAGATGTGCAGAAGGATCCTTTATGGGTTCAGTGAAGCTGAAAGGTTGTTGCTTTTCCTTTCTGTCAGCCTACAGGCCACAGTCTCAGTTCCTCTGCAAGGCCCTCAGCCTCACCCAAAGACATTTGTGTTTTTAATTACCAATACAGCTGCAACATTTTTAAGAAACTGTTTTCTCCTCTCTTTGCCCTTAAATGGAGGCAAGCAGACAGCCACAAATGACACTTTAATGAAACGTGTTGAAATACTCATAGATTACTCAGTGCCCTCATACCATTATCACTTTTTTCATTTTCTTATTATTTTCCAAATCCTCCTGTGTTCCTAATCGTTTCTTAGCCTGGGCAGAGCTAAGAAAAATAATGGGCATTCCACTTATGTGTAGGTGAAAACGGATGTAGCACAAGACAAAATTTTCTTTTCCCTCAGGATGACCTCTTTGTTTATGGAAGTCCTTGATTCACAGAGACCATCACCACGACCACCAAAGAAGAACAACAAAAAAATTCTTAGTCTTCACTGCAACTGTGTGCTGGAGTGGTTGTGGTGAAAATAATGCTATTCTATCATGACTAATGTTGTCTTTAGTTTTGTGTGGGCTTTTCTGGTGGAATGTGAGGACAACAAGAAGAATGAAATAATTAGAGTTGATACACATACCACCTCATAGCAAACACTAGAAGGAAAATTCATGGTGCTAGAAGAGTGTTATGAGACAACTCCAGATTAGAGGAAGGTAACCAAAACTGAGGTTCATCATAGAGGTCTACAATTTGAGTTTTGAAATCTGTGGTTATATGTTTGGAAAGTGCTATTTCTAACCTGCAGACTGGCTAAAGTAACCCTGTTTTTGCCCTAGACCCTAGTCCTCATTCCTGGCCTTTCTCTCCCAACAAATCCATTGCGGCAATTATCTGTGCAGACATTCAGTGAAATGGATCAAAGAACTAGGGGACTAAAACCAGCCTTTCCAAAACTTTTTCATTTTTGCTGGATGTTATGTCATTTAAACACAGAAACACCATCCTGGAAAGCAGCTCCACAAAGGACCTAGAAGTCCTGATATACACAAAGTTTAACATGAGTCAGCTTGCTGCTAAGAAGGTTAACAGTATTCTTGGCTGAGTTAGGCAAAGTATCACCAGCTGGTCAAAAGAGGTGATCCTTCTGCTCTACTCAGCAATGTAGAGGCCATACCTGGAGTACAGAGTCCAGTTCTGGCCCCCCCAGTACAAGATGGACCTGGATATACTAGAGAAAGTCCAATGAAGGGCTATCAAGATGATCAAGGGACTTGCAAGACCTCTCCTATGAGGAGAAGCTGACAGAGCTGGGACTGTTCCACCTGGAGATGAGGAGGCTCTGTGGGAACCTTATCAATGTCCATAAATACCTGAAGGGAGGGTGCAAAGAGGACAGAACCAGGCTCTTTTCAGTGGTGCCCAGTGCTAGGACAAGAGGCAATGGGCACAAGCTGAAACATGGGAGGTTCTGTCTGAACATGAGGAAGCACTTCTTTACTGTGTGGGTGTCAGAGCACTGGAGTTGCCCAGAGAGGTGGTGGAGATCATAGAATCATAGAATCATAGAATATCCTGAGTTGGAAGGGACCCTTAAGGATCATCAAGTCCAACTCTTGACACCGCACAGGTCTACCCAAGTTCAGACCATGTGACTAAGTGCACAGTCCAATCTCTTCTTAAATTCAGTCAGGCTCGGTGCAGTGACCACTTCCCTGGGGAGCCTGTTCCAGTGTGCAACCACTCTCTCTGTGAAGAACCCCTTCCTGATGTCCAGCCTAAACTTCCCCTGCCTCAGCTTAACTCCATTCCCGCGGGTCCTGTCGCTGGTGTTAATGGAGAAAAGGTCTCCTGCCTCTCGACACCCCCTTACGAGGAAGTTGTAGACTGCGATGAGGTCTCCCCTCAGCCTCCTCTTCTCCAGGCTGAACAGGCCCAGTGCCCTCAGCCGTTCCTCGTACGTCTTCCCCTCCAGGCCTTTCACCATCTTCGTAGCCCTCCTCTGGACACTCTCCAACAGTTTCATGTCCTTTTTATACTGTGGTGCCCAGAACTGCACACAGTACTCGAGGTGAGGCCGCACCAGCGCAGAGTAGAGCGGGACAATCACCTCCCTCGACCTACTAGCGATGCCGTGCTTGATGCACCCCAGGACACGGTTGGCCCTCCTGGCTGCCAGGGCACACTGCCGGCTCATATTCAACTTGTTGTCTACCACGACCCCCAGATCCCTCTCTTCTAGGCTGCTCTCCAGCGTCTCATCGCCCAGTCTGTACGTGCAGCCAGGGTTTCCCCGTCCCAGGTGCAGGACCCGGCACTTGCTCTTATTGAACTTCATGCGGTTGGCGATCGCCCAGCTCTCCAACCTATCCAGATCCCTCTGCAAGGCCTTTCCACCCTCATTCGAGTCCACAACTCCTCCAAGTTTGGTGTCATCGGCAAACTTGCTCAAAATGCCTTCTATTCCTACATCCAGATCGTTTATAAAAATATTGAAAAGTACCGGCCCTAAAATGGAGCCTTGAGGGACCCCACTGGTGACCGCCCGCCAGCCTGACGCAGCCCCATTCACCATAACCCTTTGGGCCCTGCCCGTTAGCCAATTGCTCACCCATCGTATGATGTTTTTATTTAGCTGTATGCTGGACATTTTGTCCAGTAGGATCCTATGGGAAACCGTGTCAAAAGCCTTGCTGAAGTCCAAAAAAATCACATCAGCTGGTTTCCCTTGGTCTACCATACGGGTGATCTTATCATAAAAGGAAATCAGGTTAGTTAGGCAGGACCTACCCTTCACAAACCCATGCTGGCTGGGACCAATGACTGCTTTGTCCCCCAGGTGCGCCTCAATACGTTCGAGAACCATCTTCTCCATGATTTTACCAGGCACTGATGTGAGACTGACAGGCCTGTAATTGCTAGGGTCTTCTTTCTGACCCTTCTTGAAAATCGGCACAACATTTGCCAGCTTCCAGTCTACCGGGACCTCTCCAGACTCCCAGGATCGTTGAAAAATAATTGAGAGAGGTTCCGCGATGATCTCTTTGGAGATCTTCAAAAGTCCACTGGAGATGGTCCTGTGCTCTGCTGGGTGTCTTTGCTTGAGCGGCGGTTGGACCAGATGGTCTCCAGAGGTTCCTTCCCAATTTAATCATTCTTTGATTATGTGATTTTCTGTGATCCTTGCATTTTTCTCATTAAAGACCTTATAGCAAAGGAATACTGCCAGTACTTTGAAACAGAGAGAAGTGTTAGCTAGTCCTGTAAACAAGGTAGAATATGTCATGCAGAAAACAGTAATCTGTTTCTTTGTCCTTACATGAAGACAAACATAAAGTTGTAGTTTGACAAATCTAATGACAGATTCTGAAATTTTCATCATTTGTTTGGTAATAGCTAGAAACCTTTACACTTAATATGGGCAAAAATTTTAGTAGCAAAAGTTACCTTGCATTCAAAATAATAATAATAATAAACAAATAGAGACTATATTGCAGAACCAGCTCTTTTGCAGAGGCATGATGACTTCTTTGGGTTTAATAAGGAGCCAGTTTGAGTTTCTAGTTACTCAGTTGCCAGCACTCTCCCTTGTTTTCTGAGATGCTATTGAAATTATAGATGCCTATGGTCAAAAAAGGTAGGTTTTCTCAGTCATGTTTTGAAGGTGAAAGGTTTCTTCTTGAACAATCCAGGCCCTCCCAAAACAAGGACAACAAGGGATATTTATCCTGATTGGATAAATAAATAAGTGTTTCACCAAATTAAAGGTCCAGGTCAAGAATGACTGAGTTGAGACTGGTGATGGCTGATAACTGTTACCCGAATCTGATGCTCTGAGGATATAATTCATTTGATGTAGAAGACACAGCTATAGGGGTCTTCCAACACCTATGCCTCTGCTTTTGGTGGAAAAGCTTCTAAAGATTGAAAGTGCAGAAATATAACATCTCCTTAACATCATCTTTGCAGGTTTACATGCAGAAGAGATGCTAGGTTCAAGGGCTGAGTACATTCACTGGAAAGTTCCCCTACAACTCCATATGCTTTGGGTCATGCTTAGAGGTGTAGAGGTATGTATGGTCCATATAGCCAAACTGTGTTCACTCATGGAACAGTGTGACTACTTACACCACTTACTGAGATGAGCCCATGGTTTGTGCTAAATCCCTAAACTGAGTTTGGACATTGTCGACAATTTGTCCTGGCTCAAAACTGTGTCATGGTTTGTACTAATATTAAACAGTAGGGGTGACTGAGGCCTTGTGCTCAAATGTCTGTCCTGGTCTTGCACGCTTTACTGTAAGGAAGACAGCTGAAGTTATTACCACCAGGAGAAGAGAAGGAAGAAGCTTGTTTGCAGGGGAATGTGTTCTCTCTTCAGTTCTAATGATTCCTGGCTATTTTTATGTACAGTAGTTAGTTTTCAGACTGATGAGAAGGAGTCTCATTTGTGCAGATGGGAAATGCTTATTATGCTAATAGTGTTCTGCATTGTTAGCAGAGATTATTAGACAGAGATGTTAGAAATGCCTCTAGTGGAATTAAGTAGGTGACAAGGTAAAACGAAGAGATAAATGACAACAGTGATTAGGAAATGGATTGTGCGAAGTACAGCAGTGCAAATGAAGAAGAGAAAGGAACTTCTCCTACAAGGATTTGTTTAATCAGTAATGTATCTATGAAAAAGAAACATAAAAGATAGTTTACCCAGATGGTACCAAACACTGCCCTTTAGATTAAATGTGATGTTTAATCTGGAGAAAGCTGAGAGGAATGTCAAAACGGTCAGCAAAGAGGAAAAACAGAACACCTGAAAGCAAGGAAACCACAGACAAGCTTGTGTTTTATAATGAATATATTCTGCCAAAGATCTGTATTATATATGGCCAACTATATATTTTAACATGCAATTCAGTGAAATGTGCTATTCATCTTCTCTGAACTTGTAATAAATCAAGAAAATCCACCAATAGAGGCAGGTACATAGGCCGCATAGTCACACAGTTGTCTTGCACTACACTGAAAACTGTTGCTTTTTGGCATGTTGTTTCTATACCTAGGTCCACTGTTCCAGCTGGAAGATGGCATTTGTGACTGCAACCTGAAAAACAGGCATTAGGATTTATTTCTGAAGCAACACATCTGCAGCCTAACTATGCTGTAAACTTTCATTAAATGCTTGATGGAAATCAATGCTCATTTATAAAGTGATATTGCAGCACTACAGTTTGATATGACAGAACTAGTCATGGTAAATAAATGATTCAGGGAATATGGCTTTTTTGCTTTTTCTGTGAATCTCCAGTGAATCAGTCCTGCCAATGTATTGATTCTTCTTAATTATTCAGTATGGGTAAAGGCTTTCCTTGTTGTATCAATTACCATCTCATGACATGTTCAAACATTGATCATTTTCACTTGTTCCAACTAACAACATGTAACATATCACTGAAGTTTCTGGAGTTATTTTTGACTCTCTCATCAGGTGCTTGAAAATTCCATGAGGGGCAGAAAGAAGAGTGATGAAGAGCAAATAGTTACGGTTGTAAACTGATAACAAATGTTCTCATTTCCCTTCACAGTTTCCTGATTTTCTATCTGGCAGGCAATATAACGATTACTTTTTCTCCCTAAGATTGAATATATGTTAAGCAGAGAATTTGGATAGGATGAACAGCATCTTTTGGATTAATTCTGTACAGTATTTGTGACTTGCTGGTAGGGAGAATCACGAATGCAAAAGGCTTATAGACCAGATAACTTCCTTCACTAGTCATAAAATGAGATTCTGAAGTCTGTCTGAAGTGGGCATACATGAAGAAGCTCTTTGTTGATTTCCATAATCACTGAAAAACTGGGTTTATTTCCTCCCCTTCTGATTGTATTGATGGAGGGCCAGATTCCCTGGCTAACCTGTCCAAAACTGGGGACTATCTATCTCCATAAGTTAGGGGTTGGTGTGCCCTCTTACTTCAGTATGTGAACACCTCAACATTTTTAAAACTCTGAGAGGGGCAAGGACAATTTTCTCATTTCATAGAATCATAGAATAGCTTGGGTTGGAAGGGACCCAGATGATCTAGTTACAACCCCCCTACCATGGCCAGGGATGTCAGCCATTAGATCAGGTTGCCAAGAACCTCATCCAAGGACCTAGAACACCTCCAGGGATGGGGCATTGTGGTGTTTTTACCCAGCTGGACAGCTGAGCTCCGCCACAACAGTTCTCTCACTCCCCCTCCTCAAAGGGAAATTGGGAGAAAATACAATGAAGAAGGCTCAAGGTTTGAGATAAGGACAGGGAGATCACTCAACAGCTATCACAATGGGCAAAACAGACACAGCATAGGGAGATAAATGTAATTTATTACCTATTACTAACAAGCTAGAGCACTTAGAAATTAAAAAAAAAAAAAAAAAAAAAAAAGTAAAAACATCTTCCCCCCCATCCACTCTCTTCTACCTCCTCCCCTGAGTGGTACTGGGGGCTGTGGTCAGTCCCTAAAGCTTCACCTCTGCTACTCCTTCACAGTCACTCTATGCTCCTGCTTCATGTGGCATCCCTCCCATGGGATGCTGTCCTTCCCAAACTGATCCCGTGGGGGCTGCCCACAGACAGCAGCTCTTCAAGAACTGCTCCCACACAGTTCTGTACCACGGGGTCCATCAGTTGGTAGTAAACTGCTCCAGCACATGTCCCCCACAGGCGGCAGCTCCCACAAGACCCCCTGCTCCTGCGTGGGCTCCTCTTCTCTCCACAGACTGCAGCTCCGGCCCCAGGCCTGCTCCTGTGGGGGCTCTCCATGGGCCACAGCGTCCTCCAGGCCACATCCACCTGCTCCACTGGGGGCTCCTCCATGGGCTGCAGTGTGGAGATCTGCTCCATGTGGGACCCATGGGCTACAGGGGCACAACCTGTGCCACCAGGGGCCTCTGCACAGGCTGCAGGGGAACTGCTGCTGTGTGCCTGGAACACCTCCTACCCTCCTGCTGCACTGACCTTGGGGGCACCTTGGGGGCTGCAGGGCTGGTTCTCACTCCTCACTCTCCCAGTTACTGTGGTGCAGCAGCTTTTTTCCTTTTCTTAAATCTTCTCTTACAGAGGTGCAAACAACATCACTTACTGGCTCAGCTCTGGGCAGTGGTGGGTCCTTTTGCAGCCAGCTTGAGCTGGCCCTTAACTAACATGGGGCAGCTGCTTCTAACAGAGGCCACCCCTGCACCCCCTGCTACCAAAACCTTGCTGCATAAACATAATACAGATATCCACAGCTTCTCTGCGCAACCTTTTCCGATGCCTTACCACCCTCTGAGTTAAGAATTTCCTCATAACATCTAATTTAAATCTTCCCTCTTTTAGTTTAAACCCATTCACCCTTGTCTTTTCATTATCTGCTTGAGTTCAAAGTCACTCAATCTTTTTTCCTAGCCGCCTTTAGGTATTGAATAGCTGCAATGATCCTGCCCAAAGCCTTCTATTCTCCTGGCTGAACGTCCTCAGCGCTCATTCTTTCTTCACCGGAGAGGTGCTCCAGCCCTCTGATCATCTTTCTAGTACTCTTCTGGACCCGCTCCAAAAGGTCCATACCCTTCTTGTGCTGGGAATCCCAGAGCTGAACACAGTACTCCAAGTGGAGCCTCACAAGGGCAGAGTAGAAGAGAAAAATCACCTCCCTCAACCTGCTGGCCACTCTGATGTTGATACAGTCCAGGATGCAGTTGGTCTTCTGGTCTGCAAGTGCACACTGCTGGCTCATATCAAGCTCTTTGTCAAAAAGAACACCCAAATCCTTCTCTGCAGGGCTGCTCTAAATGAATTCTTGACCTAGGCTGTCTGGGATTGTCCCAATCCAGATGTATCATCTTGTACTTGAACATGTTGAACTTCATTAGGTTCAAATGGGCCCACTTACCTAACTTGTCCAGGTTCCTTTGGGTGGCATCCCTCCTTCTGTTGTATCGACTGTACCACTTATTTCATAGATGTGAAACTGGGGCAAAGAGAGTGTCTATGGCTTGTATAATGTCGCAGAGGAAGTCTGTGATAGAACAGGGAAACAAAAGTGATTTTCCAGGTTCTGGTCCTTAGACTTAAAAATCCTTCCTGTTGATGATACATGAGATGTTTGAGCTGCAGGGACCAACAAGAAAGGTTATCTCGCATGAGTGTGGCCCCATCTCCTCGGGTGACCCCAAGATACAGAAAAATTGCTCAGCTCTCTTTGGTGGCTGATATGAGGGGAAGAAGAGAGAAAAAGACTGTTTCATTTCTACTGAAAAGCAATTCAGAAGATTGTGGATATATGTGATTTTACAGGATCGAGCAGATGTAGGTTGTTGTAGGTACTGAGGAGTCACCTGTGTCCTGTTATGAGAAAGGCCTTATTTCACTCCTTTCTCTGATCAAGCAAGGAAAGTGCAGCAGGAGAGAATGGGCTTTCCCTGGTGGTGTGATGACAATAGAAAATATTTATTTTGGAGTAGGAACTTCTTGCTTTAAACACTATCAATTTTTACATGACTGTTTAGTGAAGTTTGACTGTTTCTACCAGAAGAAGAAAAGACATTTAACACAAGGGCCTACTCAGAGTCTTCTGGTATTTCATTAGGCATAAGGAGCTGTTTGCTGTGGTTCCCTGGAACAAAATAAGAAGGAGGTAATCTTTCCTTTGGGTTACTACAGCTTTGGGGAGGAACAAAGTTACACTGCAGAGAATATTTCAGTATCACAAGTGACTCTGTGAATCCAGGTTGCCCTGACCAGGCATATTTTTGCAATACAATTAATTATCTTTTTTTTTTTTTATTATTTTTTAAGTTGAGAATAGACACAGACACAATGTCCTCTTTTTGCTGCTCAGCCCATTCCCACACTGTCACAAAAGCATTGTCATCAGGCTACGCCTCCAACTGTGACTCTGACACTCTGACCTCTGTCCTTCCTGGACAGTAAAAACCTCATTCAGTACTTGAGACTCCTGCAAACAACGAGCTTTGATGAGAGTATGCTAAAGCCTCTAATGTTCCAAAACCGATCACTGAAAAAAAAAAAAAAAAAAAAAAAAGGAATCCCTGGATGAATCCCTGGACAATATGGGTCTCAAAAACAGCCATTCAGACTATTTCTTTTATACGTAATGCAACTAAGAGGCATGTAAATGCCATTGCTGTCACTTCAGTTTCTCCTTAGACATCTGTTTGGCTTCAAATTTATATATGGCACAGGCAGCAATTCTTGTGGTGAAATTCTGACTTTACAAAAAATTTTGGGATTCTTAGGGAAAACTAGCAAAACACTTTGGGATAAGGAAATCTGAATTGAAACTGCAACATTTAATTTGGGGCTATTTTTGATTTTCTTTATTTTCTCCTGACCTGCCAAGTTGCCTTCTCAAAGATTTGTTTCAGATATTTCTGAATATCTGGAGATTTGTGATTCAAAATAGAACATGAAAAGTACTGGGTACTGCAGTAAGTCCGGGTACAATAAATTCTTAAATGGAGTCAAAGTGAAACATCGTGATTCAGTTCAGTAAACTGAACTTAAATATCTAAGTGAAGTAATATTGTTATGCTGTATTTGGATTTTGTAAATTATACAATTTCCTTTGTGTTAAAGGCATTAATTAAGCAATTTTTGTCACTTTGTATCTGTAATGAGTTGGAAAATATCCTGCAAAAGAAAAAGTCTATTCTTATTTACCAAATGCAGACCTGCTAACAATTATGTATACTTCTTGACTATTTAGATTCATTTATTACATTTAAAATTGAAACAGTCTGGAAAACTCCACTTAATAGAATAAACCAGCATACATTAAAAATCATCTGAAAATATTTACCTGAAATACTGTATTTTTAAATAGATTTTATATTGGCTGGCAAAGAGTAAATGTGTTCTGTTTACTTTCTGAGTCAAGTGCTTACTTTCCCTGTAGATAAATACTAGATGACATTGGTTCTCTAGAGCAAGTGAAGAACTAAAGTGAGGACTGAGCTCTCATGAGAGGGGAATCACAGGATTCCTTAATGAAAGTGCAGACCTAATTGGATGTTCTTGTCCCTGTGTTCGTTCAGTGTAAGCACTGAAAAGATGAAGCACTGAAAAGTCTCTTGCATGACTGTGAGTACTTTTTGTTATTGCCTCCAGAAAAACTCAGACTAACTAAACTCTTAATCTATGTCTCAGAAACAAGCCTTCACATAGATGAGACAATTCCATGTTGCCCTCTGCCTAAAATTCAAGGTAGAGCTGCGCAAGAAATACTGTTCCCATCTAGTAAAACTCTTAGGACATGTTTCTCTGATTTTCATCCTCCTTTGGGATGATCAGGGATCTCATAAAGTGTTTTGGTAGAGAACAGAAGGGAAAGAAAATGAAGCATGAGGTAAGGGATTTATGTTAAAATCCCCGCTCTGAACAAGTGCACTGTGACTAAAAGAATACATTGATTTGGGAAATAATGAGAGGTAAGGTGTGAGTCAGTGTGAACACAGAGCTTTTCTGCTTCATTTTCTTCCAGTTCCCTAGGATCCCAAAGTTTGAGTCAAATTTTCTGTCTGCTACTAAGACTTTATGTGAGTCGTTTTTCTCTTTCTGAGGGTTTACTTCTCCATGACAATAAGAGCCTTTGGTGAGTACCTGCCACTGGGAAAACTGCTTCTGGCTAAGAGCAAGCTGATGAATTCAGAAACTTTCACAGAGCTGGATTTAGGCTACAGAACTCACAAAGGATTAGGAAATCTATGGAGGTGAGCATTTTCAGTCTAAACACTTTTTTTTTTTTTTTCTCTTTGTATTCTCATTTCCTGCAAAATTTCAGAATGTACACCATTATCATATTTTTTCTTTCTTAAAACATTTTTTTTGCATCCACACAAGAATCAGAAATAATATATCCAGACTACTTTCCCTGCAAGCAAGGTAGAAGATGGTGTAACAAAGACTGCAATATCTAAACAGCAAATTTTCAGGTGTAAAATCAGGAAGTCTATAAGGTAGATTAATACTTCTTTTTGCATTAACATATATCTCTAATTAACTACCACTTCTGTAAACATAAGAAAAAATGGACATATCATCATCGATTTTTAAATTACAAGCCCTGTAGTACTTGTTTCAGAACTTTGGACATTGGACTTCCCTGAATTAATTCTTGCTTGAACTAGAGTATAGCTTGTAGTAAAGAATCTAATCTCAATAATTTATTTAGCAATTCTTAAATAACAGGATTGGGACTACATTATGCTAAAAATTAAGGCCAATTTAGTAAATATAAAATATGCTACATCTGCTATCACACAAGTGCACCAATCTCTATTCAGCTCCTTAAATGCTACTGTAGACCAAATCCAAATAAAAAGTGTACCTAAAATATATTTTTATTTCTTTTCAACCCCATAGCTTTTATTTTATTTTATTTTATTTTATTTTATTTTATTTTATTTTATTTTATTTTATTTTATTTTATTTTATTTTATTTTAATTTTTAAGAAATCAGAACAATTCCTTCTGCGCAAACATTAGCTCCTGTTCTCTGCAACAGACATGCTCAGCTCCAGGAGACTTCCAAGACAGGATCACATTATATGCAATGAATGTATGTATGTATATATGGTATGGTGTCACTGATTGCAACTTACACATTCAGAACTCTTCACAAGGTGAAAAACTAAAATTAAAGGGTATGGACATGTCCCAAACTTTTGATTGCACTCACCAAATGTAATTTCCAGTGTTAGGAAAGATTAATTACTCTTTTCAGTGTGTATATTTAAAGTCAGTCTGGCATGCATGTTTAAAGTAATAAGGTAGACATCGACATCAGAAAGTTAACGGTTTAATAACAGGTTGCGCAAGAATTCCAGGGCTCTTACAGTGATCTGAACATAATTGACAGCTATTATTCTTCACTTAGGAGCAATGGCCCACCCCAGGAGCAATGAACAGACAAATCATATAGTATCATGTTCCTTCTTGACTGAACAACTTTAGGGGCCCATGGCTAACTGCATGGCCTCTTGTTCAGCTGCAAAAGTGTCTTTTTATTTGTTTGAGGAAGTGCACCATTGAATACAGAGGTGAAAGAGAGGCCATTTCTCTTCTCTCTCTCTCTCTCTCTCTGTTTTTTTTTTTTTTTTTTTTTTCTCTCCTTTTTTGCCTCAGCCTCAGAAAGGTCAGGAGCCTGCTTCATCTGTCATGCTTAATCAGCTGATGAAAACTCTGCTGATGCACGAGGTTGTGGCTCCTCTATTTTAAGCATAAATCTTAATGGGAGAATCGTTCTGTAATGTGTTACTTCCTGAAATGTGGAGCTGCTCTTTTAGGAGTGTGCTGGAGGCTTCTGGTAGCATGGGTGTACAGTGTGTCTGGAGTTCTCCTGGGGCACCACGCTTTTGTTGGCTGATATATGTGACAGCTTTCCAATTGCATATGATAAGGCATGTGGTCCCAGACTTCAGCAGAAAGCTTTAACAAAGGAAATAGACGTCCCAATTGGAATGTGAAGCAAGTCATCATGCCTACAGTTAACAGGATGCTGCTGACTGAAGAACAAAGGCAGGAGTACATCTCAATTGTGAAAAATCAATTACCCTCATTACCCACCAACCCACCATTTTTCTGATTAAAACTATTTGAAGAACAGGGGAAGGGGGCTGTGTATCTAGTGAAGATTGCAAGAGATGTGCAAGCGTTCAGCTAGAGAGGAGGATGGAATTATACATTGTTGGCACAAGTGCTCCTTTGTCCTGGCTGGTAGGTCTGGCTGAGCATGCAGAGGGACAGATATAGTCCCTCTTTTTTTAGTGACCCATCTCTTATAACTCTTTTGAAATCTTTGTGGTAAATATGTCTTGATACTTATCTATCTATCTATATCCCATGTTATAGTTATTAATTTTCAGATATGGCTTTTTTTTTTTTTTTTTTTTTTTTTTTTGTGTGTGTGTGTGTGTTTTGTTTTGCTTTCCTTATTCACATAGATTCCAGGATGGCTCTGGAAAAAAAGAAAGGGAAACAATACCTATGGACATGGCGCAGAATTGAAGAACCCTTGATGTGGCCAGTGTCGGGTATTCTGACAGGAAAATGTTTGCTACTTTAAAAAAATTAACAGACCTAGCTGGATTTCAAGAAATGTTTGTCCCATAGGATGACTGGCAAAGTTAAATAGTTCATCTTTGTATTCATATACATACTGAGTTTACCAAGATAAGCATGCAACAAAGAGCCTTCACAACACTCTCCCTCTGCCCTAGTTACATGTATATCTCATGAAACCAGGAGGCATTTCTTACTATATCACAACGTACCAAAAAAACACAAGTGAATGCACAGATGAGCCATGTTACATGCATGGAACATTAGTTAGCTCTCTGCTGCCGTACACAGAATCCAAGGTCCTTTTGCTTACCAGTATATTTTACAAAAGTTGGCAATAATTTCGTAACATTTTGAGGCTACAAATACCACCTCGAGCATTACTTATATAGTCCACATAGAAACTGCATTTAAATATACAGCCAACTCAGATTGGCAGAAGTATATGTAGAGGATATAATATTTTCTAGCACAGCTCTTCCAAACATACAAGGCTATGACCTCATGAAGAGTCATGATGGCAGTTCTGTTTCTAGTGCTAAGCCAGAAGTTCAGTTCACAACCATGTGTAAAGTTGCAAGCGGAAAGGATTTGGGAACTGGTATTCCAGTGACAAATGCAACTCTGCAAGTTTAAGCAATGCCTCAAGATTGAGTGCATGTGTGCTCATGTGTGTGTGATTCATGTCACTAGTTCTCCACCTGCTGGTGGCATTTTTAAGGCCTATAAACCCTAATGCCCTTGCTATGAGTGATGTAGAGGTTGCCACTAGTTAACCCCATAAAAATGTGCAATCAGCTAATTGGAAAATTCTAATTAAGCCTCTGCTCATGGTACAGACATCCACATGTGAAAGACACTCAGCTTCTCTATACAACTGGCCGGCTTGCCACTGGAGAGCAGCAATCAGGTTGGGCAAGCTTTGCTTTCCCAATCACTGGAGCATGATGGCCCGGACAACTGTGCTGATGGCTAGTTTGCTGAGGGCCGATTTTTCTGCTGCAGCCACCCATGGTTCCTTAGTTCCAGCTGCCTATTCAACCATGTTCCCTGTTCTCACTAATCGCCATTTCAGAAACAAAATGAACGGGGGTGTACACAACTATCATTAGGAAAAACGATGACAATTAAATATAATTAATAAACACTCCTATTACAGGGCATATGCATGCTGTGTGTCTAAACTGGACTGAGTCTGAAAATTAGCACACCTCATTACCCAAATGAATTGGAATTACACAGTGCAACTTCCACTATTAATACAGCTTAAAGAAATCCTCCATTTTTTCTCATGTATATCTGTGTCCAGAAAACGATGTGCTTTTTAGTCAAAGAATATTAGAATGAACATTGCTAATCACATCAGTCCAGATGGTTGGCTCTCTTCTTGCCAAGTGGCAGTATTGTAACCTATTTAATGTGCAATTTACATAAGCTCTGTGTTAATAAAGATCCATGAGCTTGTGGACTTTTCCTTTACTCTTTTCTGTATCTCAGGTTCAGTCCACAGAGGCACAGCATAGTGCTTGCGACTGCCATTGATGCTGGTTGCTGAAGTGAGGACTACTTAGTACCTTGCCCACAACCCTCTGCCCCTGTCTTCTCACAGCAGTATGGGATCCTTTAATTGATCATTATCCCCTTTTGAACTTAAAAGTACAGTTAGGAGCATATATGCCAAGCCCACATAAATCTGTGGTGAAGGCTGGAGTGAAACCTAGAACTATCTCAAAATAAAATTATCCTGTTACTGTGTGCATTCAGCCTGCATTCTCAGACCAGCTGGAATTTGTTAGAATTGTTTTGTGTTTATGGACTCTCCATCTAAACCTTACACAATTTAATTTTCTTTGGAAATTTACTAACTCTGATGCTACTGTGCATCCTGTCCTCCAGTCCAGCTAGAATTTTGTGTGTGGCCAGTCACACTATACTGACAATCAAAACATATTTTCCTGATAGGTGGAATGATGTGCCTATAAATTATTGTCGGTATCTCTACAACTCACATGAGAAAATATTTTGTAACTGAGAATATGTCTCCAGCAGGTTTGGCAGGTCATACACCTTTCTGTTATCCAACTGTTATGTGGAAAGAAATAATACAACCACAGATCATCTAACATTAAATCACGGGCTTGGCTGTACATCCCCCACATTTCCTGGATCTTCTATAGATACCTATAGAAAGCAGAAACTATATTTTTCTAATCACTGCAGAAAGTCTAAGAGGAGGTACTTGTGCTTTGAAGAGCTTGCAGTATGTAAAAATGGGACAGACACCAGGTAAACAAAGGAAACAGGCAAATTTGTTTTGAAGGCCACATGGAAGTCATAGAAGTCTAGAATCACCTGGCTCCTTCTACAATGCTGTGCTATCAAGACTAGCAATAAAATCTGACTCATATCTGGAAATGGGACCAATGCATCTGAATCTTTTCTAATTTAGTTGGTTGTTGGCCCACCTGGGCTTGTTCTGTTAAAAGCATTAAAACCTATTTAATTATTCATTTAATGTTTTATACTTTAAATTATCAATTAACATTTCAAAATGTATTAAAAGTACATTGGAAAAGAGTCCAGTGGAGGGCCACAAAGATGATACGGGGCCTGGAGCATCTCCCCTCTGAAGAAAGGCTGAGAGACCTGG